TAAGTGCTCAGGAAAACCACTGAGAACAAACTGGGTTAATCTCTGAAAATTCACATAAATTATACCCTAAACACACTACCTTAGAATATTCTTGAAAACACAATACACAGGCCAATACTTCGTTAGCTGAAATAGTAATGTCATCACATGTCATGTAGGATCTGGAATACTCTGCCATACATTCTTGAGACAATGAGAGTGAAAAGAAACAAATAACACATTATTGTCATTATGAAAATTGTTTGATCTTTGGGTCCCATGAAAGGGTCTCATGGATTCGTGGGGTCTCCTGACCGCTCCTTGAGCCCCTCTGAGTTAGAGGAATAATAATTGCAATAACATTAAAAAAAAAAATCAGTGTTGTTGTTGGGTGCTGTTGTTGTTGGACAACCCCATGTGACAGAATAGAACGGCCCCATAGGGGTTTCCTAGGCTGTAATCTATATGGAAGCAGATTGCCAGGTCTTTCTTCCATGGAGCCACTGGGTGGGTTCAAACTGCCAACCTTTCAGTTAGCAGCTGAGAGCTTAATTGTTACACCACCAAGGCTCCTAAAATCTCAGTAATTTCACATAATTGAAGTTTATTTCTCATTCATGTCAAATCAGAGGCAAAGAAGAGGCTGTGCTCCAAATACTTATTTAGGTATTAAGTCGGATGGAGTTCTGCACCATCCATGTATGACTTCTGAGGTTGACCATGGAAGAAACAGAGAGCACAGGATTTTTCAAGAAGTTTTTATGCACTCAGCCTGCGAGTAAATTCAACTTTTTTGTCCACATTTCGTTAGCCATAACTCAATTATATGGACACCTACAGTTGCAAGGGAGGCCAGGAAGCATGGTCTAGTTGTGTGCCCAGGAAGAAAGACATATGATTTTGGTAAACAGGAGGCTCCAGTCTCTAATACAATGTCTAATTTGATGTATTTACATCAAATATATAAATATATCAACAATATAAGAAAATCAACTTGTGGTAAAATAAAAATATCCTTTTATATACAGAGGAGTATGTTAAATATTTATTCGATAATTTTTTTGTGCAACTACTATGCTCACACACTGTTCTAGATCTTAGGTAGAAAGAGAAGTATGAGAGATAAAGTCTTTCATAGTGCCCAATTTGTTATAGCCAAAAAACCCACTGCCGTGGAGTCGATTCCAACTCGTTATAGTCTGGAGGGAGTAAATGATCAATAAAAAGTTAACAAGCAAGTAGCAAAACAATTCCAAATTGTGATAAGAATCAGGAAGGGAGAGAAGAAAATATAAGCCAATGGTACTTTAGAGAGGGTGGTCAAGGAAAGCCTCTCTCAGAAAATAACATTTGAGATAAGAGCTGTAAAATGAGAAAGATCCAGCTATGGGAAGACCTGGGGAAAGGCACTGTAGACAGAGGGAAGAGCAAGTCCAAAGTCTGGAGGATGGGGAGAGAAAGCCTTTAGTGTTTGAGAAATAGAAGAGGGTCAGTGTGGTTGGGGAGGAAAGCACAGGACAAGCAGGAAAGGTAGCTTGGGCCAGGTGGGCAGGGGCAAGAGCCACAAGGTGTGATGTTGTCGTTGTTGTGTGTAGAACTGCCCTCGTTAGGTTTTCTTGGCTGTAATCTTTACAAGGAAACCCTGGTGGCGTAGTGGTTACGAGTTCAGCTGCTGACCAAAAGGTCAGCAGTTTGAATACACCAGGTGCTTTCTGGAAACCCTATGGGGCGGTTCTACTCCGTCCTGTAGGGTTGCTGTGAGTCGGAATCAACTCGACAGCAATGAGTTTGGTTTTGGTTTTGGGTTTTTAATCCTTACGAAAGCAGATCACCAGGTTTTTCTCCCACAGAGCCACTGGGTGGGTTAGAACCACCAACCTTTTGGCTAGCAGCCAGGGGCTTAACCATTGCACCACTAGGGCTCCTTACAGGACATGCTAGTCCTTCTAAAAGACTTGTGATTTTATTCTAAATACAGTGAAAAGCCAGGTAAGTATCATGATTTGATTTATATTCTTAAAAGTTTATTCAAGTTGCTTAGTGGAGAATAGATGTGAGGAGATTCAAAATGGAAGATTAGTAAGTCTGACTTTACCCTGCTTCTGCATAATAATTTATGCCATTGTCCCCAGACAACCTTGGACAATAACTCAATCTTAACATACTTAACATTCAATTTAGATTCTTCTATTATTATTTTGCTGTTTGTTTGTTTTTGCAGGTCGTATAGGCCATATATTATTGTGGTATTACCAATGGCTAATTCAAATGGAATTGCAAAAGCACTTCATTTTTTCCTGTTTTCTTTTTTTAAACCATCAGTGCTTTCACCATTAATACATAGACAAGAATAAATGATAAATTCTCAGGACCGGCATTTCTCCCAAAGTTGTCTGGCATGAGTTATAAAACTGAAAAATTTTAACCTTCAAAGTAGAAAATAGAGTATCAACTACATTTCCATAAGAATCATAAGAACAGCCATGTAAAGCCGAAACATTCTAATCAAGAAACAGATAATGAGTAATGATAATGAACATAATTAAACAGTATGCAAAATAGTAGAAAGGATATAATGACTAAGCAAGAATCTTATTCTTTCAGTGGGGAAGCTTGAGGTAGAAATAAGGAAAATATGGATGGGTCTCTTCAATGTCAAGGAACCTGTTCAATGCTGACATCGATCTAGGTAGTCCTATACAAAACAGAGTTCTCTTTTTGCACACAGTGAGGTACTAAATACGTATTTATTGGAAGAATAACCAACAATTTGTTGATTTAGTTGAAGGAATAAAATCCCTACTAGGAGGTAACTAAAATCAAACCAAACCTGTTGCCGTCGAGTCGATTCTGACTCATAGCGACCCTGTAGGACAGAGCAGAACTTCCCCATAGAGTTTTCAAGGAGCGCCTTGTGGATTTGAAATGCCGACCTTTTGGTTAGCAGCCATATCTCTCAACCACTATGCTACTATGCCATGTAGCCTGGTCCAAATTAATTACGGATATTCTCATTTCTGCTTTTTTCATGGAAATTTCACGTGAGTATTTTTCCTTTCTTTTTTCTTTTTTCTTTTCAGAAAGGTCAAAGAACAGTTTCCAAAGAGTTGTGTAAGGGAGTTTTTCTCTTGATTCATTTATTAACACATTCCAATAGTGTCTTATGGAGCACAGTTCTACACTGACATACATGGGGTCAGTATGAGTCAGAATCAGCACAAAAAGCAACAAGGTTTTTGTTTTGTTTTATTCTTTGTTTAAAAATGTCTTAAAATGAGCCTAAATACCTAATATAACTAGGTTGTAGCATGGATAATTTAGGTCTTTCAGTTGCAACAGATTCACATACATCAGTGTTTGATGACAACAACAAAAGTAACAAATCTGTGATGTAGGTAACTAAACTAATATGATCAGCTTGCAGTTACGGTTTAGTGCACCCAGGCGCACAGACATTCAGACAGACACGCTTAGATACACATGTACATACAGCAAGCACGACCAGTCTTAATAACCACAAATGTTCCCTTTAGAGATAGCTCTACCCTTTCATATTTCCGTCCTAAACCATTGCTGAGCAATGCCTCAGAAAATATTTCTAACTTATTAAGATTTTTTAATTTATAGCTAATACAATAGTAGTATGAATGAATTCGATTTCACAGTCACCTTTTAAATTTGATATTGAGCATCTCCAAGATAAAATCATAACCATTGATGCCTTCACCCATAAGTAAAAGAAAATCCAATTCAAAGTAGCTGATGCTACAAGAATGTGCACATGCACTGTTTCAAAAAGCAAAAATCCCTGAGACGTGCACATCCAGAACAGGTTAATACAGTGCCTCAGTGACACCCTTAAGGACTCAGGGTCCTCCATGTTTTCATTCTTCTCCACGTCAGAGTAAGCGTTTCCTTACGATGGCACCTCTCAACATCAGAGGAAACGCTGGTGGTGCAGTAGTTAAGAGCTACTGCTGCTAACCAAAAGGTCAGCAGTTCGAATCCACCAGGTGCTCCTTGGAAACCCTATGGGGCAGCTCTACTCTGTCCTGCAGGGTCAGTATGAGTTGGAATCAACTTGGCAGCAATTGTTTTTTTCTCAACATCAGAAGATGACAACTGCCTTGATGCCTAAGGGCCCCGAAAGGACTACAAAATGAGCCAGTAAAACTTTAGATGTCTTGTTTCTCTAAGACTGAGGAAAACTTTCTCAGAAGCCCTCTAACAGACTTACCTTTCAATTTCATTGGCTCCATACCTGTGTCACAATCAATTCCAGAAAATGGGAATGAAACCACCATTGTTGGTTTATGACAAGTAAGATGCCCTGGAGGCTCCTGATAAAGTAAGCCTTCTGGAAGTATGTAACTGAGCAGAGAAAGATACTTGAACCTAGTATTTATTTGAGAGAAAGACTGAGGAATGCCTGGATGTTGAGTACACTAAGTAGCATACTGAGAAATACTCTGAAAACTAGTCTAGTATGCAACATCAATGAAGAGGATATGACGAAAACAGGATAGTGCAGTAAGCTAGGTAAAGAAGGAGCCCTCAATGTTACATCTTAACTTTGTGCTTCCAATATTTCAGTTAAAAATTGTTTCAACAATTTACAGACTTTTTTCAATCAAACAAAATAATCATATCTAGAACAGATTAAAGTTCACCCAAATGCTAACTAACCTATCGATATGTTTTACAAAAACATCTGCTATCCGGTTATGGAGCTGTAGGTAATCAGTAAATATTTTCTTTGATGATTAGATGAAGGAATAACTTTGGATGATTTTTTAAAGATGGCTTCTTCTGTATTGAGAAAAACCCTGCAGTAATAATATGTTTCATAAGTTAACGTTTCAGTCATGACATTTTCATGCATTTTTATTTAATAAAAATTAAACTAACAATTTTGTTTTCCTTAATATGCATATTTTGGGCAGGTTAATGGGATGTTATTCAATATTATTTTAAGTGATAAATGCAGAATAGGACTAACTGTGTTTTTCTCAATTTTTAAGATCCTGACTTTAAGGACCTTGGCGTTTTGAAACCATTACCAGGTTGGTAAACTAAATATTTAATAATGTTCAGAGACCATTGCTTTCTGCTATGAAATATACTGTTGGTTTATTATTCAAGCTCCATTTTTGTATGTTTGTTTGGCATTTTGTTATTTAGCTTGTGAGTTTGAGATGGGCGGCCCCGAAGGGATCGTGGAGTCTGTGCAAATTATGAAGGAAGGCAAAGCTTCTGCTAGTGAGGCCGTCGATTGCAAATGGTACATCCGAGCACCGCCACGTTCCAAGGTCAGTCTCAGGGTGAACTGGATTTCAGGATCAATTTGAAATGTGTCTAGACCGTGCATTTCTCTGAGCCCACTGGAAATGCTCAGTACGTTTCAGAGTGTGAACAGAAGCTTTTCTTTAATTTTGGTTTTCAAATGCAACTTGTCCTTCCCTGTTTGATGTAACTTCCAGTGCCATGAATAGCGTTATATAGATTGTGCTGTAGAGAGCATTGAATAACCTGTGTTAGAGACTCTAAATTAAGTCTACCTCTATGAAAATTGGACTGAAATGTTATAAATTAGCTATAATTACATTTATGCCCTTATTGTCAATATCTGCAGGGTTTTTTTTCTCCCTAGCCTAGAATTATATCTGTGGAGGAAATTGTCCATATTTGCCAACTCATATCTCTGGCATATAAAATAAATGTATCACGTTTGGAGACGGCAGTGAACAGGACCTAGAAGAGCCTACGACCTTCTGAAGGAGACATTCACTACTTAACTACCTGTTAAGCTCCTTTTGATTGCTGTTTTGAAGAAACGTGGGCCCAGTATTATCAGGTCCTCCATTTTTTTCATAAGCAGCCAGAAATCAGAAAACTAGATATTATATGGATTAGCTTGATATTTAAAAGTTGGCAATACATTTTAAAAATTAAACGCTGAACATATGATGGGCCAGATTCAGACTCAGGCCACTATTTTGGAAACATTTCTTTAGAACAAGCATATTCATTCTGTTGTGGAGGTATCTGAAGAAATATTGGGGATGAGCAATTTCGTGCCCGCAGCTCTCATTGGTGTAGAATTTTGGGTGTTTTCTTATTCTCCTCCCTTGATTCTCCTTCCTCAGTTTTAGAGTATAGTTTCAACTAAGCATTATTGATTTATTAGAACTGCAGTTGACTATTTTATTGTGATTGAAACCGTTCATTATTTAATTAATTGCTCTAGTGACTCTATAAATTGCCAAGCACCAGGCTAGATGCTGGAGCTGGAGAGATGAAAAGGCACAGTGACGCCTCCTCACGTTTACAGTTTAGTTCTTAGACATGTAAACAAAATTTTCCAATCGATAAGAGCGGTAATAAGGGTGAGGAAAAAGGCCACTTTTACTTGCGAGATTAAGTCAAAGACGGAATCAGATAACATCCAGAGATATAATGAGATATAAGGAGAAATACTATTGTGACAGGAAGACAAGTTGAGACAGAGTTTCTAGACAAGGTAATAGCATCTGTGAAGTCATGGAACCATAGTAGAGTATGCTTGCTGTCTCAGTCATCTGGTGCTGCTTTAACAGAAATACCACGAGTGGATGGTTTTAACAAAGAGAAATTTATTCTCTCACAGTCCAGTAGGCTACAAGTCTAAATTCAGGGCATCAGCTCCAGGGGAACGCTTTCTCCGTCTGCTCTGGAGGAAGGTCCTTGTGATGCATCAGTCTTCCCTTGGTCTGGGAGCTTCTCTACGCAGGAACCTCAGGTCCAAAGGACACGCTCTGCTCCCAGCACTGCTTTCTTGATGGTATGAGGCTCCCATGTGTCTCTGCTCACTTCTCTCCTTTATATCTCAAAAGAGATTGCATTAAGACTACTCTTGTCAGCCTCATCAGTATAACCTCATCATAGTGACAGAGTTTACAAACACATAAGGAAATCACATCAGATAACACAATCATACAATGCTGGGAATCGTGACCCAGCCAAGCTGACAAATATTTTTGGGGGACACAACTCAATTCATGACACTTGCTTTTTTGTGAATTAAAGTCATGCATGTGACTAAATAAAAGCATGGGAATGGAGGGGGTGGGGGGCAGTAAGTCATGAAGCCCAAGGTCTCTGTAGGTCTCTCTAAAGATCTTAGACTTTATCCTGAGTGTACTGAGAGTATATGAAAGAGTTAGAAGCAGGAAATCGATGCGATCAGATTTTTATTTTAGAATAATGACTGCTCTGGGGAGAAAGGAAATAGTAGTTAACACTACAAGGAGAAAACTCAATAGGAAGCAGTGGCAGGAATCCAGGTGGCTTGGACAAGGTTATGAGGGCAGACAGATTGTTGTTGTTGTTGTAGTTAGTTGTCATCAAGCCAGCTCCAACTCATGGAGACCTTATAAAACGGAACGAAACGTTGCCTGGTGTGTGCATCATCGTCATGATCGTTGGTGTGGTTGAGTCCCTTGTGGCAGCTATTGTGTCAGTCCACCTCATTGAGGGTTTCTCTGTTTTCCTTGGCCCTCTCCTTTACCATGCATGATGTTCTCCTCTCTCAGGTCTTTCCTGATGACATGTCCAAAGTAAACAGGTTGAAATCTCACCATTCTCACTTCGAAGGAGCATTCTACTTGTATTTCTTCTAAGACTGGTCATTCTTTTGGCAGTCTACATATTAGGAAACATTGAAGATAGATAACAGTAGAATTTGGTGACTGCATATTCAGGGTGAGGGAAAAAAAGTCACCTTTGAGGGAGTTGTGTGCCAGGAAATATTTGTATCTTTCTTCATTTGACTTTCATCTGGAGTTGGCATATAAAATGAAGTGTGATAGATTCTTCCCCAAACCTCCAGTTACAGAAATTCAGAGATCCAGGTCCAAGTTCCAGCATTGCCACCTGCAGGTCTCTTTACATGTGTGCAAACTCTTGAAAAAGTTAACTTCATCATGAAGAGAAACAGTGATTCCCCCTCTTTCTTTATCAAAGGATGTTGGTTACATAATGTCCCTGGGTGGCACAAAGCATTAAGCACTTGGCTACTAGCTGAAAGGTTGGTGGTTTGAACCCACCCAGAGGCACCTCAGAAAACAGGCCCGGTGGTCTGCTTCTAAAAGGTCACTTGCCTGAAAACCCTGTGGAGCAGTTCAACTCTGCACACATGGGGTCACCGACACTGGTAATATAAAACTGTAGATACCCACTACATAGATCATAAGGGGGTGGAGTGACAGTTCATTTGCTTCATTATCACATGTGAGTGGAATTTATTTTTCTTAAACTCTATTAATAGAAAAATTGTTTAAGATTCTTTTTTCAGTAGGATGCAGGTGAGCCCCACATTACTGCTATGCCCAGTATCTCTGTCACTGAAGTTTTAAAGTAACGGTTTTATGAGTGTAAGCACACATACCCTTCTCTCCCAGCTGGTAAATAGGCTGTCTTTCATGCAATCCCAGTCAACAATACCAGACATACCTCTCTGTTACAGAACTTAGCATTCTGTGACCCAAACGGGAAGTTGCCTGCAGAGCTGGGCCAAGGTGGCTGTATTGTGACAGGCTTTCTCTGTTAAGTTAAAAGAAGTGGCTTTGAATAAACGTGGAGAAAAGCAAGAACCGGAGATCACTGCTTATGTAGGTTTTCTATTTTTATGGACTTCCTAGCTGCTCATGAGAATAGACGATCAAAACAAAACACAAGTTCAACATGAAATGGCTCATGGTGAACATTTGAAATGATAACTGGTCATTGAACCATAATTCACAATGAATGTGCTAAATTGCTCACATGGGTGATATTAAAATTCATATAAATTGCATATTTCTTCTCAGCCTTTTGACAAATGGAAAATAGAATATCTGACATCTCCTTTGAGAACAGTAATATAGATTGTACATTTTTAATTAGATTGTGATTAATGCAGATATTCTAGAGTTTGGAATGCCAGAGCCAGAAAGGACAATGGAAATCTTTAGTAACTGGTTATCTCATTTGACAAATGAATAAGCTGAGTCGGAAAAATGAAGTTCTAGATGGATTAACAATAGGTTGTAGGAATATGCTTCCGTAAGCAAGTGCTTTGGTATGCATACAGATTCTAGAGCAAGGGTAGTGGAAGGGTATGTGTCTAGTTCTGAATCTGGTCCAGGAAAGAGCTATCAGAAGAGAATGATGGACGAGCAAATTATGATGACTATTTCAATGCTAATTCTGTGAAGGTTAGGGCTTTATTACCTTTAGATACCCAGTGCCAAGTGGAATATCTGCCACTCAATTAAAACTCATAAACTGATTTATAGGTAGAAGAAAGGATATAATAGCAGTCTTCAAATATGTGAAGGACTATCCTATGGGAGAAGGATAAGACTTCTTACTGTCATAAGAAAGAAGACAATCCGCATAGCTGGAAGTGCCAAAATTTATCTGGAGCTTTGAAGCTAGAGGAATATAGCTTTTGATGCAGTATAGGAAAGGTTTTTTTTTCTTATAATGGAGCTGTCCAAAGATCAACTGAGATTCACAGGAGGAAGCCAAGCAGAGTTCGGCAGCGAGTTTGTATAGTAATTAAAAAGTCAAGTGATTTTTTTTTTTTTTTTGGCATAGATAATATTAAAGTCCTTTCAAAACCAAATTCTGTGAATCTGTGATAAGTGACTTGCCCAAATATTTGGTTAATTAGTATTATGGATTGAATTGTGTCCCCCAAAAATGTGTGTCAACTTGTCTAGGCCATGATTCCCAGTATTGTGTGGTTGTCCACTATTTTGTGATCTGATGTGATTATCCTACGTGTTGTAAATCCTAGCCTCTATTATGTTAACGAGACAGGATTAGAGGCAGTTATGTTAATGAGGCAGGACAAATCTACAGGATTAAGTTGTGTCTTGAGTCAATTTCTTTTGAGATAGAAAGAAGTGAGCTGAGAGGAGAGGGACTTCCTACCACTAAGAAAGAAGAACCAGGAATTGAGTGTGTCCTTTGAATTCAGGGTCCCTGCACTGAGAAACTCCTAGACCTAGGGGAAGATTGATGATAAGAACTTCCCACTGGAGCCAACAGAGAGAAAGCTTCCCCTGAAGCTGGTGCCCTGAATTTGGACTTCTAGCCTCCTAAACTGTGAGAGAATAAATTTCTCTTTGTTAAGCCATCGACTTGTGGTATTCCGTGTAACAGCACTAGATAACTAAGACAGTTAGTAACAGAGCTGAAGTTAAATCATTTCCCGACTCAATCCAGTGTGATGGCACAAGACCACACTATTAAGGGAAATTACCAAGTTTGTTAAGACGGGATA